GGGGGCAGGGCGCTCCCGAGGGACTCCGTGTCCGCGGCACCCCTGGGCCGGGTTATGCTGCTCCGCGTTCACACGGGCCCGCTCTGCTTTCTCTCCCTCCCGCTGCAGATCTGCAGGAACTGCACGGGCTGCTTTGAGCAGCACATCCCGTGCGTCTCCCTCAACTGTCCCGTGCTCTTCAAGCTGTCCCGYGTCGGCAGAGAGCTCTCCAAGGCGCCCTATCTCCGCCAGCTGCTCGACCAGTTCTAGGAGATCTGTGGCACAGGATCCCAGGTGCTATTTTTTTTCAGTGTTTACCACACTAAGATGATTGTGCATGGTGCTTTCTCAAGTCTCATCTAGGCCAGGATTTCCATTTTAACTGTTGGATTTATTATCTGAAGAATAATGAACATTTATCCTAACTAAATTAAAAAAAAAATGCATTTGTTGATCTATGAATAGCTCATTTTTTAAGATGTACAAATTCCTTCTTTCTTTCTCGTTTCTAACATACTGTTTTATAATGCTGATGTTGAAATAATAGCTCTGTGTAACATCTTGTAAATCCATTTCAAAGTAGAAGTCGAGTTTACTTCCCCGAGGAAGGAGCACTGAAAACCTCTCGAGACGATAAAACCATTCGTGTGTGTTCTTGGACTGTCAGTATCAGGACGTGTTACTTATATATTATCCATTCACTTTATAATTTTGTCTGCGAAATACTTTGTAAATACACTTTTTTACTTTTCAAACAACTGAGTAAAATAATGTGCAATGACTTTTATACAGATAATTTTAAAGTTGGTTGGTAAATCTCCTCCTCAGTTTTGCTTGATTCCAAGTAGATTGTTATTTTGATCAGACTGTGCAAACAGTAGTATCATGTGTAGCATTTTGAAACATCATTTTCTAAAAATTGCTGTCTTGCTTTAGCTATTAATGGGGCATTGTGAGGAACTGTGCAAAGACATTTTTTGTTACAAACCTGTGGGACTGTTGCAATACTTTAAATATAAAATTTTATTCCATTTTTGCTTGTTTTGTATAGACATTTCTATTGCTTCTAAATATGCTTAAAATATTTTCTTTCCTTATGTACTGTACAGTTAAATCTTATTTGCCACCATCTTGACAAAATGTGTATTTAGAATATTTGTATAACTGTATAAAATGGAAAAGGAATTATGTGGTCAGTGCATTGTTTTCTAAACTGGAAATCATTTTGTTTTAGAAGTTAATAATGGCAACCATACGGAAGTTGAATAAAATGATATGGTAAAAACATATATGATTTCTTTTGGACTCACAGCAGCATCGGCCTTCGTCTCCCTCGCTTGGCGCACTGACCCGCAGCAGCCCAAGCAGCCGGCTGCGCTCCAGCTCCGCTCGGAATTTGTGCGTCGGAGCCCGGCCAGCGCTGCAGCCTCCTGCTCCATCCGTGCAGGCCTCCCTGCCCGCCACAGGCAGCGCCCCTTTCGCTGCCCTCACTCTAAGCAGCCTCACTATTAAATGCAGAAGTCCAGAATCGCCTTCAAAAATAAAAGGAAACTTTATTTAGGAAAAGGAACCGAGGTGCCTTTTCCCATGAAGAATTTATTACATTCAAAACCCAAGTCGGTCTATCGAATTTCACATTATACAGTACAATGTAAACCCACACCAAGCAGAATGAAAACTGTCACTGTGCGAGGGGCCGGGCAGCCAAGTGCTCTGAGCTTCAGGCAAGGTAACTAGAAGCCATCAAGGCACCAGCCGTTGCCACCCGCTGCGTCTCGCAGCGCAAGGTCAGGTAGAGAGGAAAAGTGCAAATGCGGCCGCCACCGCCGCGGTGCTTGCAGCACAAGGGAGCGCCTGGCACTGCTTCGGGCAGCGAAAATAAATACAGACAGCACAACTGCAAAAGGCTACAGTGCAGTAATTAGGCAAGTAAAGGACCGTGTTAAACCCACGCCTGGTTTTAAAGACGGCAGTTGCATCTTACCCAATTCAGGCTCTGTGCCCTCCATCATAAACCTTGTCCTGGACATGTCGCTGACTTTCGGTGCTGGTCTTTCTCCAGCCCAACCAAGGCAAGGGGAAGGGAAGTTCCCTCGAGTACTTCCCACGCTAAACACCAAGTTTCCTGGAGGAGCTTTAACTTAAAAGGCACCGTCAGAAGATCCTCACAGTAGCTGTATATGCCAAGAACCAATTTACGTTCAAAATTTAAACATGAAAACTAGCATTCATTTTCTAGATGAGCCCTTGAGGAACAGCCCAAGCCAGCACCTCTAGCACTTGAGAGTCTTTCTTTGAACGTGAGGCCTGTCTGACTGCTATGAACTCGACTCGTCATCGGAAATACTGACCTGCTTTCATCTTAAGTTGCTTAAAAAACATAATTTCCGTTAAGGGCCAACCCCTTGACATTAAGAACAGTCTTTAAGGATAAGGAGAGCAAGCGCTAGGAGTGGATCGCAGGCCCAGCTGGAAGCCAGAAACCCCAACACGGGGCTGCTTCAAGCACGTGGCCAAGGCCCCGCGGGAGCGCTCGGCCCCCGCAGGCCTCGCAGGGGGATTTTGCACGTGAGCCCCCGAGGTTGTGCAGACACCTACATCATTAAATAACTTACAGTAATTAAGAAAACTACCTACGTTCTGCGGTGTCCTCCTGTCACTATGTTTTAGATCCTCTGGCTGCTGTGGAGGAGAACGCCTACATTTGCGATCCAGACAAGTGTTTCATTTCTACTCCTTGTAATTTTAAGGAAAAGAGAATTCCTATCCCTATTCGGTGCCTCATGCAGCAGTTATTGGAACCTGCCACATCATTCTGCACAGTATTTTTATATTGGCTGAGGAGACATTAGTCAAGCACATTGCCATAGATCAGGTTCAAGTAGGTTAGAGCGCATTTTTCTGCAGGGCTTTAGTTTCTTTTCCCATTTTACCACTGGATTATGCATCACCTACTTCCTAGCTCTCCCTGAGGATCCTTACYTCCTCGCACTACATTCCTACTGAGCATTTCAGTCAAAAGAAGCAGACGGGGAACTGGGGATTTTTAAAAAGCCCCCTGGTTGCCAGGTGGTTAATTTTCTTTGGCACCAYGATCACCAGTATAAGGGAACTTGAAAAACAAAAGAAGACTGAGAGTCTCTCCAACAAAAGTCACCCTAGCTCCACCTTGAAACTGCTGTCTCTGCTTCCTTCTGCTTCAGAGGAAAACCCAGACAAAGCTTTTACCATTAATTTTGGCCATTATTCCGGCTAGAACACTCTTGGTGTCGAGTGACAAACATGATCCTTAGGCTTCTCTGCTCAGTTACGGGCTGCCCCAAACTGTCCCTCTCTTCGTTTCTGTCAGTGCTGGGATGTGCCCGGGGTCAAGGAAGGCCCGCAGGGCAGGAGGTGCCTGTGCTGACCCCTCACCTCCACCTTCACGAACATCCCTCTTTCCTACATCTAAGGCACAGTGCAGAGCAGGGAAAGGGGGAAAGGCTGCCCAGCAAGGCAGCCCTTGCCCGCACCCAGTTACGGCCACACCTCTGCCATGCGCTTTCCTTTCCTGCTGTCCAAGACCAGGGCACCACCTAAGGCCCTGCATTGACTCCGGTTGGTTGAATGCTGCCACGTGGAATAAGAATTTGGGTTGATATTTAAAAGCCTTACTTCAAAAGAGAAAAATAAAATAACACCCTGCTGGAACAAGGGAAACAGAATTATTTTAAGTGCAGGGGCACATGTGACATGGGAAGAGCAGGCGCAGACGTGTGGAAAAGCGGGCACACGGCCATTAAAAAGGGCATTTAAATGCCAAGGCAGGGAGCCAGGGGACAGCCCTGCACCGCTGCGGGAGGCAAAAAGGCATGAAATTTTTCATTACAAGTTGATTGCTGCCTGTTAACTTACCAGACCATAGCAAGAAGGTGTTAGAATTTGAACACTCAGAGGACCAGAGAAAAGAGGAAGAAAAAATCCACAGCTGAAAATACATTAAACRGCAATGATTCTGTGCTGTTACATTTAAGCTATTTTAGTAAATTAAAGCTCTTAACAAAAAAATAAAAAAAAAAGTTAAAAAAAGTGCCAAGAAAACAAAACATTGGCCTGAGTGCATCTTAGAACACCAACCCTAACGGTTTTGCTTTTGCATKGAGAAATTGCAACACGTGTTTTCTGCCCCTCTACTCAGCTCTGGTGAAGCCACACCTGGAGTACTGGGCTCCCCAGTATAAGAGGGACGTGGAGCTTCTCGAGAGGGTCCAGAGAAGGGCAACCAGGATGATTAAGGGARTGGAACATCTCTCGTATGAGGAGAGACTGAGTGAGCTGGGCCTGTTTTCTCTGGAGAAGAGAAGGCTGAGAGGGGATATGATTAATATGTATAAGTTCAGGAAGGGAGAATGCAGGGAGGAAGGGGACAAGCTCTTTTCATTGGTGCCCAGCGATAGGACACGGGGTAATGGGCGTAAGCTGCAGCACAGGAAGTTCTATCTCCATGTGAGGAGGAACTTCTTCCCTGTGAGGGTGCCAGAGCCCTGGCACAGGCTGCCCAGGGAGGCTGTGGAGTCTCCTTCTCTGGAGATCTTCCCAACCCGCCTGGATGCCGCCCTGTGCCCCGTGCTCTAGGTGTGCCTGCTTGAGCAGGAAGGTTGGGCTAGATGATCTCCAGAGCTCCCTTCCAACTTTGAATATTCTATGATTCTGTGTTTCCAGTTCAGCTCTTGTCATTACCTGTGCCTCCCTCCCCCCGTTTACTCTCCCTGGGGAGGGCTCACTGACCTGCAGGGCTTCCCTGCTCCTCTCCTATCTCGGCCAGTCCAGCCGCTCCTCTGGGAAGGACCTGCTTGCGGAGGAGGCAGCACCTCCAGTCCGCTCCCTTCACGCACTGCCCCCGGAGCACAGCGGGCACCCTGACCCARCCCATTTCTCCAGGCTAGTTACCACGAGAGCGTCACCTACCYCTCTGCAGGCCTCACATTCAGAGCACATCTCCTCCGCTTTAACATTTACGGTATCAGCAACAAAGTTCCTCACATATCACCCCCAGCACATCGGCGGGGCCTTCCCCACGCCAAGCTACACAGCTGCAGACTGGAAATCAAAGAGGAGAAAGGACTGGACAAAACGGGAGTGAAAACATATTTCTGCGCCACTGTGAAAAGAGTCTTGAATCACTTCACAAGAACAGCTACAATTCAATTGCATTTCCCTTTTTAGAAAAAGTCATCTTTTTTTTTTTTTTTTTTCTTTTTTTTTAAAGTTTCAGTCATTCTTCTCACGGTCAGCACTCACATTTTTAATCTCCGAGGAGCTACCAGCTGGAGAACCACCCAGCCCATCATCGTCACGAGGCTGGAGTGAGACTTTGGCCGGAGAGTCCCCGGGTATCTTCCGGGAGGTCTCTACCACAGAGTTTCTCAGTGTATCATTCATTTCTATTACCTCAAAGTCCGCTTCGTTCCACTCGCCCGCATCCTCCTCATCCTCGTCGTCGTCGTTGAGGCCCGAGTTTGACAACAGGGCCTTGCGGTCCTCGCTCTCRCCCGCTTCTTTGGAGTCCCGCTGCCCGGGCACGCTGGCCAGTTTGTACATGATGGGGAAGAGCACGAGCGTCATGGCCGAGGTGGCCAGCGCCGTGTACATGATGACAGGAACGTGGTGGAACCTGCCCTGCAGGTAGCCGACCGCCGCGGGGATGCACATCTCGCCCAGCGCGGCGCCCACCACAAACAAGGAGGCAGATTTGCCTTGGATCACTGTGTACTGCTCAATCCAGGAAATGCCGCTGGGAAAGATGGTGGCCATGGAAGCGCCGTAGACGGCGGTTCCAGCCCACAGTGACAGCGGGTGGCTGGTGAAGAGCACCAGGCACGCGGAGGAGAGCACGGAGCCCATGATGCTCAGCACGATGAGCGTGCCGGGGTAGAGGCATGCGGCAAAGCAAATAGCCACCCCTCTGCAGGCCGCAAATGCGCCCCAGAACACGGAATTCAAGGCGGCCGCTTCGTTTTCTTTCATCGCCACAAAGACCTTTGCGTAGGTAAATATGTACGAGCCGTAAGTGACCTCCGCTCCCACGTAGCAGAAGAAGAAGGTGAAAAGGAGAAAAATTAGGGCGTAGTGGTACTTGGCAATTACATGTTTCTGCGAAGAAGCCTTGGATTTGTCTCGAGCTGAGCCRCTCCTTAAATACAAAATAAAAAAGAAGAAAGAAACAAACAGAAGATATGTCCCTATAACAACGTAGGACCACAAAAAATCCACACCRAGATGGGGTTTCAGTGCCGATGGGGTCAGTGCTGTTGGCACAAGCTTCAAGATGGACTGGTTTGTCTTCCCATCTCCTGCCAGGTCCTTCGGGACAGAGCCTCCTAAGGCCATTTTAGCCAGAATGGGAGCCACAAAGGCCCCTGCTGCGAAGCTGAAGTGCAGGGCCTGCATGTGCGGCCCGGCCTCCACGCCCCACGTGTTCAGTGCAAGGATGTTGCCACCTGTGGATAGGAGATAGGAGGAGCCATCATTTGGGTCCCAAAACACACATTGCTTTAAAAAGCATAACCAAAACCACCAACAATAAACCACCATTTGATTATATTGCTGCTCTGTCTGCCAGCACAACCTCTTGTGACTTTTTACATATTCAACTAGCAATAATCCCAGCTTTAACAAATATAAGGTGCAAAAAACTGCAGTGAACTAAAACTCTGCATATAAGCACCCTAAACCTGTGTGCACAGCTGAGATTTAGGAGGGGACTCACAGTGGTCAAAAGAGCCAGGAAGTAGCTCAATTGAGCGACAAGGGCTCAATCAACAATTAATCCATTTGGCAATTTTTTCTGTTTAATTCCCACTGCAGCTGTCTCTGGCCTGGCCCGCCATTCCCCAGCTCTCTCCATCTTTCCCAGCTGTTCAAACTGGAGGTTCTTTGGCACATCAAAGAGTCTCCAGGAACTCTGCTACTCTCTTCSCAGATCATCAGCTGCACCCACCTGGAATTTGTAGCATTGCTCAGACTTCTTCAAAACAGCAAATCTAACTGCTGCTCAGGAAGTTTTAGAGCCAGCAATGAAGAACCCTAACAATCAGAGCGGTCATTGAACAGCACTCAAGGAAACACCAGGAATCACTTGCTTCCAAAGGAAAGGGACTCCCCCATCCTCTTCACTAGTGGATCTGACTTTGCGCCCTCTTTAACATTACAGAGCTCCCGTAGATGGCACAGAATGAGGACAGACTGGTCACACGCAAGGTCATCATGTCACCATGCTGCCTCCCAGCCAAGCCACTGAAACGAGGCCCTGTCCTGGATTCTTYTGCGGGTTCTGGGATGGGAAGGCTGGCACGTCAGCCAGGTGCTGCTCTGAAACAGCCCTCCCCACAGCCAGGGAGCCAGACRCAGAAGGGTTGTGCTCATGAGGAAGCAACCGGGGGCTTCCTCAGCAAGGCAGAGTGCTGACTGGCACGGCACACGCAGGGGGCCCAGGCACTGGCTCTTGTTGCAGCTTTACCATCACCTCCTGCTCCAATTGCAGCACAGTGGCTTCTTTTGGGTTGCACTTGAGCCCCATGGGCAAGTGTATCAGCGTTACCAGGCATCTCCTGTTCATGCTGATGTCTCTACTGTTAATACCTTCCCTTAGGCCTGCCCCATGAGCTAACACCTCATTTATATGAGGCTTTTTTCTGTCTCTAATGTAACTGACACCCTGGCTGCACCTGTATGACATTTGCTTCATCAATACATGGTCCTCTGATAAGAAACCTCTACCAAGAAATTSGTTTTGAACAGGTTTTGAACAAAGGCGTTATTTTTCTGGGCTCTCTCCAGTGTGCACGTGCCATTAACGTGCAATTTGGGGTCAAATAATAAATTTGGACACCTAAATATCAATGTGATGCTGGCCAAAGGCATCCTGCACTCCTAGTCAAAGAGATCAGTGAAGAGCTGTCAGTGATTTATATCAGCAAACATCTGGTGGGAACCTCCAAAATGCTGCCTAATCTGCTGAGGTAGCCAGCTCTCCCACACAGCAGCTACGAGCAGCCTCCTCTTGCAACCACCGGAGCTTGCTCCAGGAAAACTTTGTTCCATCTAGCACTAAGGAACAAGAACCCAGTTAGCTAAAAAATATCTCCCCAAAGAGCCAAAAGATTGTGGCACTTCCCTCAAGCCTGTAACAGCCTCTTGAAGAGCGTATTAGTCTTCTACTGGAAGCAAGAGATTCCCATGTCAACTTGCCCCACGCCCAGGCAGGTCTGTTACAGAAACACAAACTCTGCAAGTCTAAGGAGCAGGATAAACCACCAAGAATCCTGGCCTCATACATCAGCCCCCCTCTTTTAGTTCACGCTGTGCCAAATTAAAAGTTTCCATCTCATCAAAATAGTTACTGTCAAGTTTTCACTCARTTCAATGAAAGAACTGACAGATTAAGTCACTTACCTGTGTCTAGAATTCCCATGGAACCTCCAATAACTGACATCAAGACAGTTAAGAGCATGGATTTCTTACACCAAGGTATGGCAAAGAGACCGATTGTTGTTCCAAGCATGGACAATCCTATGAAATTGATAAATAAATAAATATATTACAGCTTTCAAATACAAAACATATGGCAAACCAAACAAAAAAAACTATGTTAGTAATTCTTAACATTTCAAATTAAGTGAATTAAGTGTGACTCCACCTAAAAGGAAGCGAAGTTATTAAACTCTTAAAATCCTCTAAAGTGACTATTCTCCCTTGGACAGTAAGCAATCTCCTTATAAAAGTTAGTTCTCCTTCATATTTTGTTCCCACATGAGGGATGTATTCCAAATGATTCCTAGATTAGCAAGAGATAGAACTACCATATTTCAGAGGGTAAGATAAACTGAAATTCATTAATTGTATTAGTTTTGCTTTATTCACTAAAYAGACTATATCAGTTTGGAAAAGATTTCAGAGATGGTGAAAATTAACACTGAAACAACAGTTAACTTCTATGTTTATGATTTCCTCCTCCTGTCTCCTTAATGGGGATAGATGCAATTCAGAATTAATTCATCTTCCCCCAGCCCAGGAAAAGCAACACTGAGCCCTGGGGAGGCACTCGACATACCTGCCCCGAGATGATTTTCCAGGCTAGCACACTGGGCTGCATGGGGAAAAGCTAAGGATGGGGTGCATTAAATCCAGCTTCTCGGGTGCCTCACACAGAGCTGAAAAACAACTTTGCAGTAAGCTTCCAGGGATCCACTTCCGATCTTCACCTGAAGATCGGTCCTTAAAAGCTTCCTGACTAAGAAAGATTGTATTTTCAACTTCTGCTCCGTACAGTAACAGAGTTTCAACAGCGGAAAGGTGGAAGGTACGTTAACCACACGAGCAAGATCCCCCTGCGAGCAGCCCTCAGGGGACAGCAATAGGAAAGATTCAGTTATTCCCACTGTATTTTTGACATTGTGCTACCAAATTGGATGCGGCTGAAAAGACGGAATACAGGTTCCAAGAACTATTGATGAACAGCTATCGTATGTGATAGAAAAAAGGCAAGAAAATACTGAACTACTTCAGGTTAATACTCATTTCCACAGATAAATTAATGACATTATTCAAGGTAGAATCTCAAATGTCCTAGACACACCGCTCTGACCATGTTAGATGGGCACAAAACACTGAAAAGCTAAAAGGAACATTTTTAAGGGTTCTGGAGCAGGGGAATAAAAAACAGGTGGGAGAACAATAATAAATAGATAAAATAATTAAACTGAAAGACATCTTAGAGCTAGAAGACAAAAAAGGGAGGGAAAAAAAGAGACAGGCATGACAGGATATGATTGTTCATAGTAACAGAAAGGAATCACATAGGGTAAGAAGAGATTTAAGTTTAAATGCGAGCAATGAAAAAATGAACCTTTCCATATGCTCCAAAGCAATCCTGCGATTACTGCTCTGTCCTGAAAGGAGGSAGAATTATGTCTGAATGTCCCCAAGGAAACGTATGGCAGGAGAGTACTGSAATTTTCTTCAACCACTAACTTACAGCATGCATAGACACGCTGCCATTATTAGGTGTATTTTAAAAGAAATCTTAGGTATATTTTAGAAGAAACTGGTTGCCAGTACTGCCCTTGAAAGGAAACAGATGGGCTTCCAGAATTTCAGGTGAGTTCTGAGAATCTCTACCTGAATAAAAAAAGGCCTTTAATGTGACTCTGAAAGGAGCATYTAGTTTCTGGCTTGTAAGTGTGTCATTCTGCAATTTAACTGCTTACTGACCTAGCGTCTCTGAGACAGTCCTATGCTTTTACTAAAAAAAAGAAACAAAACAAACAAACAAAAAAMAMCCACACTTACACCTGGCCAGAAAAACATGCTCATAAACCATGTTTCCTATAAATATTTGCATGGCTAGGCAGCAGTGGAGCAGTAAGCTTTCAAGATCACAAATATTTTTTTTTTTAAATTTTCACTTTGAGTAAGTCCTAATTCAATATTTGATTCAGTAAAATTCTCTGTACTTTTCCCAACTGCACCAAGGTGAACGTTTCTGCAGAGCTTCAACAAAGAGAAGAATCTCACTGTGCAGCTTTCCCCACAGACCAGCATCATGGCAGCGTGACCGCAGCAGCTTTCAGCTGTGTGCAGGTCAAAGCCAAAATACAGTCGCTCTCATTTTGTTTATGCRTTTCATAGAGCGACATTTTAAGATACTGCCTGCTCCAGCAGGATCTATTGTAAAACATATCATTTGATAGAGAGGGGAAAAAAAAGCAGCCTTTTTCTTTTCTTGTGTGTGCAAATCAAAGGCACCTTTGCACCAATTCCAACCAGCTTCTGCCAACTCACAAGCAGCCACCACTATGAGTATACCCTGGAAGCCCGTCTCCTTGGACATAATGCCATGCAGCAGGAATTGCTGAGCACACATGGAATCAGACACCAAACAAAATGCAATTCAGTAAGACTTSATGCACAAGCATCCTATTTTATGAAGTGCACCACATGCAGCAGCCATCAGGTTTCCATTTCTCAGCACTGCTGTACAGAAGCAACAAGCTTCCACAAGATACTACACAAGCCAAAGGAATGTTGCCCTGAAAAGCTTCCCATTAAACAGCATTTCACAGCCAGTGGTGGTACCACCAAATTGCTGTAGCGGAAACTTAAAACGGTGCCTTAAAATGCATCAAGATCCCAGCTGCAGGGAGGGTGTTCAGGTCTCCTACCATCTGGACACACTTACCCAGGAGAAGATGCGCGTTTACACAGTCGAAAAGCACCCCTCCGACCACTGACCCACCGAGGTAGCCCAGGGAGCGGCCCACAAAGATATAGTAAATATCGCTGATGTTTTTATGCACGTTAGCGGCCAGGTTGGGAAAGGTTGGTCCTAGGACTGCAATGCTCATACCCTGAAAAATATTTCAAAAGGCAGATGAGTTGGGGCATTATTACTATTATTTTTTACACTAGCCAGGAGTTCCCTCCGGAGCTCCCGGCAGGTAGCCGCACCACCGGGCACGCGCGCCCGCGCGGCGGTTAAACGGCCGCCGCCGGGCACGCGCGCTCGCGCTGCAGTTCAACGGCCGCCGCCGGGCACGCGCGCCCGCGAGACAGTTAAACGGCCGCCCTCGGACAAGTGCGCTCGTGCGGCCGTTAAACGGCCGCCGCCAGGCACGCGCGCTCGCGAGAGATTTAAATGGTCGCCGCCGGGCACGGGCGCTCGCGCGACAGTTAAACGGCCCGACGAGGGCGTTAAACGGCCGAGCCGCGCGCTCGGAGGAGGGTGACGGGCAGCGGCGGGGTACCGGCGGGCAGCGGCGGGCGGCAGCCGGCGCGGGAGCCCCGCGGGGGCCCCTCGGGGGCGGGGGGATGAATTCGCGGCGCCCCCGGGGGCCCTCCCGCCGCGCGCCGCGCTCACCAGCCCCAGGAAGGCGGCGCACAGCGCCCCGGAGATGCACCAGCGCAGGGCGGCTCCTGCCCCGCCGCCGCCTCTGCGCCAGCCGCCGCCGACCACGGCCACCTCTGCAGCGGGGGCGGCGAGGAGGCGCGGGGGCCGCGGCGCCGTCCTGGGGCCCTCGGCCGCCTCCGCGGGGCCGGCGAAGCGAACGTGCTTCTTGCGCTCCGCGTCCGCCATGGCGCCGACCAACGGCCGCGACCAACGGCCGCACCGGCCCGCGGGCGATCCGGAACCGCCGGCCCCGCCCCCGCGGCGCGGCGCGGCGGGGACTACGGCTCCCGGCGTGCCCTGCGGCGCATGCGCGCGGGCCCACGCCGGTCGCCGCGGAGACCGCGCCGCGGCCGCAAGATGGCGGCAGGTGGGAGCGGGCCCGGCAGGGAGCGGGCCCGGCAGGGAGCCGTCCATTCTCCCGCGCGGATTGACAATAAACAGCTCTTTTTACACAACGTGTTACCTAGCGGTTATCCCGCCGACTGCTCTGTGGGGCAGCTGCTCCCTAGGCCCAACAGGTGACAGCTGATGTCCTGAGACCTCCTTCCTCCCACGATTTTTTTTTCTCTACAGGTTCCCAGTGGCCACTCGGTTGYGATTTTTGTAACTTCAGCTCACGACTACCTCTAAGCACATGTATTGCTGCATCCTATAAAGGCTGCAGCTTTAATTTTCACTAGTGCCTGAGAAAAAGGTAGCCTTTCCAAGGATCCTACACAGCAATATCCATCTACCTCCATTAGATACCACATCCCTAACCGCTGTCTTTCTTTTCAAGAGCCATTAACATTGTATTTAAAGAAGTTCTATTTTAATTTGCTTTTATGTAGTGATTAACACACAAGGCAGACAGTTGCAGCCCTGTGCACCTCCCTTATCTTTAGGGGACAATGTTAAGTGTAGCTATGGAGCCGTCAAGCACCTTTTTCTGCTCCTGGACCTGCTGCTTCAGCACTGGGGTCCACAAGAAACCAAGGGTGTTTCCAGTGTGTTTCAGGACACGTACAAGCTCTTTCTCAGGAAGATCAAGCTGTGCCTAGTTTTAGATCCTGCATCTTCAGCTCCTTCAGTCACAAACACTTAAGGGAGATGATGGGGTGACACCTTTCTACTTTGCTATGTAAAACGGAGTTGTTCCTCAAACTTCTGATTGACATTTAGCCGTTGATCAAACTCAAAGGTTGCAAACCCTCAATGATACACTCTAACATCTTAAAAGAGCCAGAAAAAAAAAAAAAAAAAAAAAAAAAAGTGATTTATTTGCAGGCCACACCGATCAACACTGTAACAGAGTTATAGCAGGTTTTGCGGTAGGCTTCAAGAGAAACTCCTCTTGCCAAGTAGTTCATAGGCTTTAAAAAAATGTCCTGTAATAGTTCCACGTCATTGTCGCTGCTCAGCACCAAGATGCTGCTCCCTGAAACAGAGAGTGACTAAAATATACATCTTAAGGGACTTTTTTTTCTGAAAATCATGTGCAATTTAAGCCATATTCATAGATGGTGGCATGTGGGCTTTTTCATTAGCTTTTTGAAATGTATTTCATATCTTTGCAGAACAATCCCCACCTCTCCCCTTAGGATTTGCCTCTCTTGCAGTGAGATTCTGTACCTCAGGACGGTATAAAAGGCATCAGCCCCCAGGCTTTTGTAGCTGTTCCAGGCACTTTTTTCGATTTCTGCTCTGAAAGATCAACAGTCTGGATATCAGCAGCATGAATGGGAATGTTCTCCCTAAAAAGGATGTTATTAAAGAGGAGGAAAGAGTTGGCCCTACTACAAAAGGAAAGGTGAATTAAAGGCGCTTTGCTGAAGCCGTACATGAGGAAACRTTTCATGGTTCACAGTGCCAAGGTAAATGAAGGTGAAGCAGAGGGCAGGCCCTGATCAAAGTTCTGCTGAATTACACTGGCAGTTTGTTCAGAACAACACACTCTATTTTTAAGTTTTGAAATGGTAGTGAGGTTTATTCTACCATTGTTTCCCTTTCTCCCTCCTTTTTATTTCTGCCTTTTGTGAATGCAGYTGTTCTATAGAAGTCAGATATATTTTAAAATAATCTTAACAACCGCAGAAGGGAAAACAGAGCAGATAAAATTTGCGGAAGCTTGTAAATAATTCTGGAAATCAGTTGTTTGGCTTATAAAAAACTGTGCATAAAATGAATACTCAGTAAAATTAGGATGAAAAAGGTTGCATCAGACATCAGTTTTGGGTTGAATGTAATAGGGATGTTCTAGTTCAAATACAGTTGTAATAAACAGTGTAAGGGCTTTTAGGCGACTCTTCAATAAWACATCCTAAGGCAATTTCAAAAAAAAAATGCAAGTTTAACAAGAGAACAAGACCTAAAAATGATACATGTGATACCAAATAGGGCACTTAAGAACTACATCTTTATTCTGGATAATTTGAGGGATCACAGTTATTTTAGCACCATGAATAATATTACACATTCATTTCTTATGCTTGTAAGAAAGCAGAATTTTAAAGAATGGAGTTAAGGCTCATAAAATGCATATCCCTTTAATATCAAAAACAACATACAAAGTGTGATGTCTATAAAGATACTTCAAATGTGTCAGTGTCATCAACATTGGCACACATTTTAGTATAAAATATCAGTCTAATTTTAACATACACAGTTCTGAAATATTAAAAATGTTGACAATATAGAAGACTAAAAGGCATATTAGAAATAYGCCAAAGGTTAATCTAAACCCCACTCGCTGTCTGGTATTTTAATGGTGCTATTTGACAAAAATGAAACGTATGAATGGAAATGGTTACCTTTTTCCTCCCTGATTAATCTCGTTCCCACATCCCAGTGCTACAGCTTCTCTAGGAAAGGCTCAGAGCGACGATGCCCTTGTGAATGCATATTGAAGATACTACACATACACGTGCAAACACATGCACATACACACAACCCAGGCGTGTGAGAGGGCCAGCTGCAATCAAAGAGTTCAGATGCCTTAAAGGCAGCTCCAGAAACAGGTCACTTTGCACTGCAGCTCTGCAGTGGGGCATCCGCTTTCCTCTCCGAAGGATGTCCAGGCCTCTCTGCGGCGAGCCCGCACAGATCCATAAGGATAATCCCAGCGAAGGCAGCGTCCCGAGGCACGTCGAGAAGCGGCTCCTGTCCCTTTGGCAGCTCCTGCGTCACGCGAGGAACGGAGCAGGGCTCTTGGCTGCGGGGCGGTCGCATCCTCCTCCTGTGGCCCCGAGTATTCACCAAGCACGCGTTGAGAAACGGGTTCAACTTCAGTTTCCCACCTTGTGATACGTCACCCTACCGGGCTGGGGCTGTTTGAAGGCTTAATGCAGGGAGGAGGTTTGAGAGAGCAAGGCTGAAGAAGCACAGTCTATGTTCAACGCGGCATGGTGCGGGTTTAATCAGCTTCCAAAATCCAGTGTGTCTGAAGGGAGCTTGGGGACACGGATACCTAGGCCTTACACAGAGGAGGAGCCAAAGGAGAAAGATGTCCTTGCTTAAATTACAGCACAAAGAGCAGGACCATAGATTTTACCACAAGGACATTTTGAATTAACCCCTTTCTACCCATTTTCTTCTGAAGCTTATCTATTTTTCTTCTGAAGCATTATATTTAATGGAGRAAAAAAAAAAGAATTACTCTGTTCACAGGATGGAGAAGCAATGCCTATGAAAAGCACTTAATGAACAGTTCAAAGGAGGACTTCCTTGGATCTTTGAATATTTGAAGGGTTTTTCTTTTTGAACTAGTGTTGTGATTTTAGAATCAATTTCCAACAAGACTAAAACTAGCAAAAATTGAAATAATCAAAGTGAGTTTAGTAGACTTGATACAAATGGGCTTTCTCCATCCAAAATGAAGTTTTATGACAAATTTATTCACATCTACTCAGCCAAAATAAAACCGAATGTTTGGTGCTCTTCTGGTTCAGTTTTCAGAATAAACATTGCATAAGAGAAAATTCTATGTTATACCATGATTTTTGCATAAATTGGCTATGTATTGATTATTGTATTGACTTTTTTGTTTGTTTCCCTGAAAGAAACTTCAGGGCATATAAAAGCTCATTTAAGTCTCCTCAATAGTTAGTTTCACTAATACCAGCAATTTGAACATTTTAAATTCATCTAACTTTAGGGCACAATCTTGCTATAATTATGACCAATAAAGAGCTTTTCCTATTGGAAACCAACAGCAATGATGCAAACAGAATCATCTCTCAAATATTTTTTTCTAGCWGTTCTGAAAGATTGTGGCTTTTTTTTTCAATTTTACCCATTTTACTGTTGTAAAACAAGCAGTGACATCTGAARGGGGTTCGTTATTCCAACATCATCACACAAACATGCTGAGTTCCTTACTCCCAACWCTGCATCGTTCTCCTCCTAATACACCAGGCTCAAGTAGCTGTTTTTGACATCATGACTCCTCTGTCCCCTCCATACATTTTCTTTAGTGGTGTCTTATCTTGTAAACATTAACTTCCATTAACTACTCCAATATATGAATCTGCATTTTCTGCGTATTTTAAAAGGGTTCAGCAARAACTACTCCTTACTACTGTTACACTATTTCTGTATTATTCATACAACAGAACGGCAATTATTTTATATGTTCTATCCCAGATCATTTATACAGATATTATAGAGCACCAGGTCAAGAAGAAGCCACAAGGTCAAGGTGGTTGATGACAACAATTTCAAATAGCATTACTGCTAAAATGCAGCTTATTTTTTGGTTCAAAACACATGAAAAGAACTGTGATAAATATCCTTTTTTTCCCATAACAAAGCAATATGAAACAAACAAAAAAAATGCTTTCATCACACACAATTTTTTTTGCATCACCCAGATAGAAGATAACACTGAATAACACATTCTACAGAAATTCACCAAACAAGAACAGTGTAGGCTGTTAGTGTCATTTCAGCAATGAAGCCAGCATTTTGTAGTCAGTTTAACTAACAGTACTACTAATATTAACTTTTTTTTTCAGAAATACTTATGACATTTAAAAGAACAAGTCCCAGTGAAACAAAGTGACCTCTATGCTTAAGGTTTTTTCTACTCCCCAAACTCTCTCATATACCTCATTATCATTTCAGTTCTTTCAAACCTMACTCACATGGGACAGTGACTGAAATTCTGCAATATAAGCACGGTATGAGCTCTAGTCATAGATGCCTGCATGATTACGTTGAAAGGATTTTGAAAATTAATGTATGTAAACTTTCAAAGAAATAGTATTGCTAGCAGTGTTTCATATCAYAGATGCATATGGGCTTTCTGATAAATTAATACAATTCTGGAGCAATGAAAAATTACAAAAATAGAGACATTAAAGGTTCTATTTTCAAAAAATACAGCCTCTAACTTATATAAGGAACAGGTATTGTTGCTAATTAAGAAGATGCACTACAATGTATGTTTAGTTTTAAAATCATGTTTAGTTTGCTCTTTGCTAAGATGAAAACAAAAATTGTTGGGGTTGAAGGGATCTGAAGTAAAGCATGTTTAAGTAGTCCACTCACAGCTGATTCAATATCCACATAAAAACAACACACTTGAAAGTGTTTTATGATAAACCAAAAAGCMCAGTGTCCTTCTCATCCCACACAAGGTATTTTTTCAAATATTTCTTTCAGAGGAAGGTGTTTCAAAAATATGTGCTTGACAAACATTATGTAATAGCTAGGAGTAACAGAAATGTTTTAGTACACTAAGCAAGTCATGGGTAACAGAAAGAGGCATTTCTTTGTACTCCATTAAATTATGGCGCTGTATCCTACATGTAATTGAATTCAACTGTAAAGACCCATTATAAAGTTGCATGTTCACTCAGTGCAAAAATCTTTTCAATTGTTGAATGTCATTTCGATAGCTCTATATTTATTTTCACGTTGAAATAACTCAGTATTATCGCACTTAAAATGTTCAATAGGTAAATATTCTTTAAAGCTGGCTTATGTGTAAGAATTAAAACCAAAAACATAAAGATACAACAACAGAATTTTAAATTTAGTCTGATTCACAATACTGCTTCAAAGTACTGCTGTCAGTACAATTTCAGAACTATTTTGACATTTGGCTGGAAAAACCATCAATGTTACTGGTACTGCCTTGGCAGAAAGAGACACTATAACAACCTATGATTCAGCAGCTTTACTTCCAAATATATTTGCTTCTGATTTTAATTCCTGAATATCCACAAATTTCATCCTTAATGTTCTTTGTCCATGATACTGTGAGAAAGGTGAATCAATGGAAGAGGAGGTCAATGTTTCAGCAAACTGAACATGCTGGAGTATTAAGAGAAAATAAAACATACACTTTGTTTAATAATTTAGCTTTCTAATACAAAATGATTTCAGTAAAAGTTAAAGTTAAGGGAATCAAGAAGTTGTATATTCACATTCATGATACAGAATTTTGAGAGATTTTAAAACAGCCCAAGAAACTTGAAAAAATAAATCAGTCATAAAAGCTGCTAAATGTTTGACTACGAACACCCAATGGTGTTGCCTGCTTTGGATAGACCATAAAATTATTGAGGAGTCCTGGGTCAATGAATCAGAAGAAACTTCCACACTTCCAGAGATATGTTCTGATGAATTACAAAAATATTCTCTTCACACACAGAATCACTATGCACGTACACACTAACGCTATAAAACTTCAAATACCTTAAAAACGTGGCTTGAACTCAAACTCAAGGACTTGTCAAAAAAAGCGTTCAATGGTATAAAAGATTCTTGCAATCTGAGCAATAGTTCCAAACTTCTTTAGCATCATGATATTCTCAGCCAAACCTGGAAATCTGATCTAGCTTTTGGAGCAGGGTGAGCTAGTAGAGCAGAGAAAGCATCAAAACCAGCCTCCACTTATTTGACCGGCTTTTCTGCAGTGTCTGACACGAAAGTGCTTTCGCTTTCCAGCATTTTCTCAGTAGTTTCTCCATCGACAGTTTTGGGTCTTTCTTTTAGCTTCTGCCGTTCGTGGACCCATGGGATAAAACACAATATCGCGCCGCCGATAAGGGGGGGAACTCCAGCCAGGTAGAAGGCCACGTCATAGGTGCCCAGGTGGTCCCGCAGCAAACCTGCAAAGGGACAAGACGATCACTGATGGGGCCTTGAGAAGCTAGGAGGAGTGTTAATCTTTTGGACTCAGGAAACTGAGGACTGACATAAATCATTATAATCACTAATCAGACCATTGAAGGCCAAATATAAGTGTGTCGTTTTAGAAAGGCATTCCAGACTTGATTTGAAGTCTTCAAGTAGCCCTTAGTAGTAGAATACAAGGAGAATGGAGGGAATGTTACCACTCAAGTGCTTAATTACCATCCAGGGTTARAAATGTGTATGGTATTTCCTATTCAAATAATGCTTATTTCAACTGTCAGTAGCACTCACAAGACCTTARGATAAACTGTGGTCAAAAAAGACTTTAGCTCAGGCAGCCTTCACCTCCCAAGGAACCTTTATCTTTAAAAATCTGTATTTTGTTCAATAGTCTTCCTTTAAGAAATGAAGCAAAAGGCATTGGCTTTTGTTTGTAAAAAGCAATTTAAGTGACCAGACCTTTAAGTGACCAGACCTTTTATCCCCAAATTGTTTTCACACAAGCAAGTTTTGGAATCCCATTAAATTTCAAATTCTAACTTGGAGTCCTGAAACACATTTAGCATTTAGGCTATCCACTCAACAATATGGAAAATGTCAGGTCCTCCATCCAATCCGGAAGCCCGTATTTTTTTTGAGAGAAACAGTTCACCTCTGCATTGCTTAATTTAAAAAAGACTGAAGCAAACTGTAAACAGTAACAGTTTACCAGCAACCCAAGAGCAGCAGGTAAACTCACTGTAGATGCCGGAGCAAGGGAAGAGACGACATCCAATTTAAATGAACTGCATAATGTGTAGGAGCAGCAAACCTGACAATAACAACTCCAAATATGTTTACAGCTACAGACCTAAGCTGCACTTACCTGCAATGGGTGGGCCGACTGTCATGGGCACCGACATGAGTCCTAGCAGAAATCCTATGGCCTGGGAGACGTCCTGAGCACCGACAAGCTCAAAGGCAATAGGGGCCATAATGCAAATGAAGCAGCCATCAAAGAGGCCCATGAAGAGACAGACAGCAATGAGGGCTCCAAAGACGTGGCACAGTGGAATCATCATGGACATAAGGCCAATGAAGAAGAATGAGGCCACCTAAACGTTATCAAGGAAAAATACAAAACGTAACACGTCAGATCAGGAAAGATAAGGGAGTAGATAATTCCTTGCAAATGCAGGAAGACCTAAATTGCCCAGCCTAGTTTCCTTTAAAACAAATATTATTTTGAGYTCATTAGGAAAAGTCTGCAAGCAGACACCAGGACAAGGCTTAATTTTCAACACAGCATAAAAAACTCTTTTAGATAATGTATGYTATTGAGAACACTAGAGAAAACTGATGTGAAATAGCTGCGGTATTGTTTCTATTTCTCTACACAGAAATAGAGACAATCAAGGAACTAGGCTGCATAGAAATGTAAGGATACAAGTGAGGGATTTTTTTTTTAGTTCTTCTAGGATTTATACTACATAGAGAAGGCTATTTAAGGTGAGTCTATATCTAAGAAATAATGTGGTTATCTACAGACAAGTTGTAGACTAGACATTGTTGTCATATTATGACAAAGGAAGCACTAAAATCAGACTCACTAAACACTTTGCATCAAAAAGACAGAGAGTATCATTTGCTTACTAACCACGACTTACCAAGCAGAATTCAACATAAGAGCTCCTTAAGAAAGAATTCAGAAAAGGAAGGATAAAGGTTAAATTTGCAGAACAGACTTGTTCATTTACCAATGTAAACTGTTCAACTGTAAGACTCAAGTTGTAAGTGGAAATACACTCTCATTTGCATTTGTCAAATTCAAATCTTAACCAATTTTTGCAAGGAGATATACTTGCTACAGTGCTGTGAAAGACTGATTGAAGATTAAAAAAGTAACTGTGAAAGTATTCATATTACTTATTATACTTAATTATTCAAAGATTTACAGTTTAAAGATGGATATATCAKCTCTCAAAACCAAAAAAAACACTGAAAATCAAAAGCTTTGGGGCATACRAACTTTCTCTAGGTCCCCTACAAATTCTGTCTTGGTTGTGTCTATGACCATCATGTTTACAAACACCACYATCTGAGCTGAGAGATACAAATGGAAAGAATGATGGCATGAACTGCTGGGTAAACATGAACACTCACAAGACACAGTGAAGAATCATTTTTACACCTAAAAATGTTGTTTTGAAACAAAAGAGCTAAGGATGTAGATGTGTCACAGGGCTGAAGTGCAAGGAATATATTGCTTTCCTACCTATAATTAAYTGAAACCAACAATACTCAACCAAAGTGTCAGAATTTATGTCTTAAGAAGGAAAATCATTGGTTTTATGTTTTAGCCATCGGAACATTTTAAAAAAAAAGAATAGAAAAAAAAATCTTTAAAAGTTTTGCTGCAAGTGTGACATTATCAGATAGAAGCAAAGGCATTTGTGCCTTTTAAGGCACATGTCAGGTGTCGCCTCTTCACCATTTTTCCTAATAATGAAATATCCTAAAAATATTTAAAAGAGGTAGTGAAGCAGTCCCAATGAATGAGATACAGTTCCAGTCTCTTTTACACTGAGCCTAAATTCATGCACCTACGGCAACAAATGCTGCATGTTCAGAAAGGTTTTCTTTTCCAGGTTTTGGTTTCTATCATGCAGTGCAATTAATAGCCATTAGATGTCCCCCTTGTTATTTTTTTAAACAAATGAACCATACCAGTGGTTAATAAATGATAAATTATTACAACTTTTTTTTTTTTTTTTATATAATAATCTGCACTTTCCCAAAAAATAATGCTTATAAGTGTGGAAGACAACACGCACAGTCTCCTTCCAGCCCCAAACATCAGCATTTCTAGAAGAATGCTGATTTCTCTCCTCCACATGATTTTCTACTACTCTTATTGAAGATGCCAAGCAATCCATTCAGCCAAACTTGCTCAAGTATCTCTAATATTCCAGTAGCTGTATTAGCATGTGATAGGCATGGGAGTATTTGCCAACTAATTGGTTATCATCTAATAAAGATCAAGGGRAAAAAAAAAGCATCTAGAACCCTTAATAGGGGCACAAGAAGAAATCTTTTTGTAAAAAGAAAACCAAAAACGAAAACAAACAAACAAAAAATGAAATCACAGGATAAAAGACAAAGCATAATCTAGAGCAACCCCAAAGGTTTTGTCAAYCTAAGCATTGGTCTTTCTTCCATTCTCACCTGAGAACAGCCAGCCACTGGTACCTACAATTGTTTAGAAGCTCCCTTGTACCGAAAGCTATATGGTCAGCTCCTAAAGGTTGGAAATTCCCATGTTTGAATATCCAAGTCAATTCTCTTTACTCACAGCACCTGTAGCCAAAACTTTCGGAGTATCATTTATCTATTCCTTTACAATCGTGTGAACACCTACCTGTAAATAGACCTTTTTTGCACCAGGAATATAATCTGCAACTCTGCCAAAGACCAATCGTCCAATTCCTGAGGTAATGCCCAGGCACAGCAGAAGCACCTCTTCTGGCACGCTGTCACCAAATCTGTCTTTTACATGCTTCATCTGTTTAAAAAAAATATATAAATTGGCTTTAGAACGGAAGAAACCTTCGTAAATTYGATATTAATACATAAGTAATCCATGAATCTGAGACTTAAAATTTSGCTAAAAATAATAAACTTGCTTATTTTGCTTCTATGGGTGTTAAAAGCATTTTTCTGCACTAGCGTATGACTGTTGAAGTGTCATAACAATAAGAAGCTAAAAATATGTTAGTTTATTCAACGTAACTGAATTATTAAGGAGGTTCAAGAAAACAACAGTGCTACATCTAACATGGAAATGATTGTCCAAGCACGTATTTTACTAGCAACCTATTACTGTTACYGTGGATAGTGTGGAATCCACAGAAGAACTGGTGGCTTCACTGGCCAGGGCATAATCTCAGGTCTGAAGGCACCAAGTGATTAATGAAGGCACAGAGTGATTAATGATTATCAAGTGCTGATTAGCACTCATCAATGACYTGGATGAAGAGACRAAGTGYCATCTSTMAAGATCCATATCTTTATGGATAGCTGGCTGGAGTGTTGGGCAGAGAGGAACCTCGTGAAGTTCAGCAAAGGCAAGTGCAGGGTCCTGCACCTGGGGAGGAAGAGCCCCAGGCACCAGGGTAGGCTGGGGCCAAGCTGCTGGAGGACAGCTCTGCAGAGARGGACCTGGGGGTCCTGCAGAACAAGCTGACCAGGAGCCAGCAAACTGTCCTTGTGGCCAAGGGGCCAATGGGATCCTGGGCTGCCTTAGACACAGCATTGCCAGCATGTTGAGGGAAAGGATCCTCCCTCCTCCTCTCCTCAGCCCTGGCAAGGCCACGCTGTGTCCAGTGCTGAGATATGAAGCTACAGAAGCAAATCCGAAAAAGGGCTATGAAGATGAAGGGAATGCAGCATCTCTCGTGAGCAGAGGCTGTGACTGTTTGGCCTGGAGAAGAGACGACTGAGYGGGGACTTTATCCATGTGTATAAGGGTCTGAAGGGAAGGTGTCAGGTGGATGGTGCTAGACTCTTCTCATCAACGGCAAAAGAGGCAAAGGGCACAAACTGAAGCACGGGAAGGTCCTTTTGAACATAAGGACAAATTTCTTTACTGGGAGGTGACTGTGGACTGGAAGAGGTTGTCCAGAGACCTGAGGTCTCCTTCCTTGGAGATATTCAAAAGCTGCTTGAATGTGATCCTGGGCAACGTGCTCCAGGTGACCCTGCTTGAGCAGGGGGATTGGACTAGATGACCTTTAAATGAAGGGAAGAAAAGAAGTGCTTGACACATTTGGATTTTTTAATTCCTTCTGGTTCCCGAATCTTGGCAGCACCAGACTTTTTCTTTTTTTCCCTTTTCAGCCATATTCTTATATGCATATGATTCTCATGCAACCACTTTTTGAAACAYTGCTGGCAATACCAAATAAGCCAACGTGAGCATGAGGAGAAAGAGAAGTTATCTGCATTGTTCTGCAAGCTCTGTCTTGTAGCTGTAAAGCTACACAGACTTACAGACTTGAACAGCAAAAGCTACACATTGATTTTCAGTATCAATTCTGATTATGCAATATCATTTGAAACTTAAAAAAATCATTTCCTTATGGAAAAGAGAAATAATTCTTTTCTTTGGGAAAAGAATTTGAATAAATTTCCCTTTTATTTAAGCATAAAAGATTGTTTCATTCCCTGTCTGGCAAATGGGAGAAGAAAAGCTGATAGTTTTCCCATGTCCATGTCTTGTGTTTCCATCAGTATCTGCCATCCTAAGAATCCTTTGTCACTCTTTCCACATGTTCTGCTTTTACATTTCTGCCACCTCTGGTTTGGGTGAGGAGCAGATATGGTCCACCCACTCCCCACATGCTTTTTGAGAGGGAAGCTACAGCTCATACCTCATCCAGGTGACTCTTAACGCTGAACTTGCAACTGAGCAACTGGATGTCTCAACACAAACCCTGAGGGTGAAATGCCCCCCTTTTTCAGACCACGGGGGTAAGTCCTAGTTTCAATTCCCTCTAAGTATGAAAATAACCATTACTCATCTTGAACAAATATCTAAATCTTTATCTTTCAGCCTTCACTCCTAAGCACACCATAGCTTGCAAGAGCTGGATTCAAGGAGAAATTTTTCCAGCTTCCAGCTGGATTCAAGGAGAAACTTTTCCAGCATGAAGGCAGTGGAACAGGTTGACTGGAGAAGTTGAAATTTCCAAGGCCAATTGCACAAAGTCCTGAACAACCTGGTCTGATCTCACGGCTGACCTTGCTTGAGCAGAACTTGGACTAGGGATCTCCTGAGCTCCACTCCAACCTCCGTCACCTTCTGATCTTACGCTGCCATACTCAGCCTCAGCGACATAGTCACTAGCAACCTCTAAGGAATAACTATATATCTGAAAATACATCAACTCAGAATTTAGAACTGTCAGTGCTGATTCATTACAGATTCGAAGAAATGTCTTGTAACAACAGGTTTTAAGTTCATTTAATTAGGATTAGGTATCTTAAATGAAACGTCTCCAGAATTCAGATTTCCCTAGATTTTTAGCTCTAAAAGAACTGTTCTGTAAAGACTTGGGAACTTCCTCAGCCAATGTCTCTCACATCAGCATTCTTTTTTTTCCCCATAAGAGAACTACACAAGCCATAAATATACAACCATCTCTATATATGCCTAAATGGTCATCTTAATCTGCAATTTTGACTTGAATTATGCATAAAATTTAGCTGAACTAGGTAGGGCATTACTGACATAATCTACTAATTTACRGTCTATTTCTACAATGACCTTCACAAAACCATACAGTGTCATCACAAAACAAAACGGTCCTCCAAATCCCTCACTCACAGATTAAAACACATGGTTTCTTTTCAAGGTAACAATGCAAGAAAGGGAAATTAAGTACATGTCAAAATAAAGATACTAGCAAGAGCCAGGACACAACTGAATGGTTACATGTAGAAAAATTATACTGCTGCTCATCTACAAGATGACAATGAAATCTTAAAAGTTTCAGAAAACTAAAAGTTTGAGTTTACTTCACACACACATCCTGAGAAAAGACCAGTCTTCCCAATGACAGTTGGGATCACAGTTTTAATCAGAGTGGGTTTGTTGGACCCTTGCTCCAACAAACAAGCCTTCTAAAATTCCTGAACAAACTCGAAGGCCTGCAGAAAAATCTCATCTCTTGCCTCAACACATAGCAAAAACTTTGAAGGGAACTGCCCTGAAAGACTGACAGTTTCAAAATGACAAATAATTCCAGGTGAATCGCTGCTTACTCTATTGAAAAAGGAGGTAAGAAAAATATCAAGAAAAAAACAGAGRAAAAAAACTTTGTTGCCAGAGAAACACACAGATATTTGGAACAAAGGTAATGTAACACACACATAWACATCTTTCAGATAATTCCTGTTTACCTACACGACACAAAATAACAATGATGCTTCCCCTTTCAAGCTCTGGCCAGTCTTAATCTTACATTCATCTTACATTTTCTTACATTTATCACAATAAAATCTCTGGTTGACATATTTATGAGAAGTTTTCACCAACTAGAGCCGACTGAAATACCACAATTGCTACTTCATTAAGACCCAGAACAAACATAATCTGAAATTCTCCAGTAAAACTGAAACAGTTACCAGGTTAACTGTTAAGCTCCTTTAGCATAAATAACAAAACAGAGGAGAATTCAGCCTAGATTAGGGAAAAAAATCAGGTTTACAACTAGGTAGATGTTTCTCCCTTTGCCCTCACATAGTCATTCATGAACAAATTAAGAACTTGTGGAGAACAAGTATGATCCCAGAGACTGAAAGAGGCAACAGACAGCACAAAACCTAAGAAGGGGAGAAAACCAGACAAGGACTGTTAACCAATAATAACCAGGTTTTCTACTTATTAGAATCAGAAGCAGTAACCCATTTCACAAGAATTAAGCCAGTTCTCAGGTGTGGAAAGGACACCTGTCAGAGAGGCCCAACAGATATGAAGGAAAAGGTGCMAGGAACTGTGCTGGAGATTGAAAGGAGACAGCAGGATGGCCACAGGGAAAGCAAAGACAGCCCGTGACTTGTGCTCCTTCCCTCCTCTCCGCCACTCCTTTATCTCTTGGGATAAAGCTAGCAGCTCCTAGAGATGCCAAGAAGGATTCCATCAAGCGGAAAGAGACAGGGGAAAGAAACAAGCACATGGACACTGGTGGACTGACCAGAACCGGGACATACAGGAAAGGAGGCCCGTCTTTCAGGGGAAGCTCACAGTGACCACGAAGAAGGCTGAGGACTAAAGCCAGCGATGCTTAAGTGTCATATACACATGACTGGAGAGACAATTACATCAAATAACTTACCTTTTAACCATTTTTTTCTCTTTAATTATCATCTGTRATAATAGTAGACATATTTCAATCAGTTCCTTGTGGCCTGAACTAGCCACCATATTTAAAATTAACAGTCCTAGAGTTACAGACACGTCAAAAACAAACCACACAAAACAACTTTTCTTTATTGTGGGGTGGGTAGCAAACCTTGGGAATAGAGAGAAGGACAGATATAACTTATCTTGTCCTGAAGTGGCCTTTTCAAATCTCTCAGACATAACAGCTCTCATGAGCTGGTTTAATATATGCTCTAGATGAAGCAACTACAAAGATTCTCAACCGCTTTGAAAAGCTGTTTCTCAAAGAGTAGCTATTAGTGATTCTCTGTAAAAAGATGCTCCCAATCTATCACTATGTAGCATTTTCATTAACAATATAGACAGAGAATACACTTACTGTATTTGAAAATTACATCATATGACGGGTACATTGCAAGCCTTTTGAGGTAAAGCGCTAGGCAGATATGCAAAGAATGTGCTGAAGTCAAGAAGTGCAAGACAAAAYTCATTTTCATAAAAATGAGGTAATATTAAAAACAGATGCATAAATTTAAAAAAACAGGGAATGATGGACAACAGCTCTTTACAATGGGTAAAGCTTTAGCAAGTGTAGCAGATCACACCCGAACRCATTCCAT